AAAAAAAAAAAAAAAAAAATAGTATCCACCTATTTGGCTGCTATGCCAGGCACAGAGTACGCCCCAAATAAGTGCTGGCTAAACAGTGAACCCCAATTTCCCAAGTCTCGTCAGTAGCAGTTTTTTGGTCAATGGCTGAACATATTCATCTAGTCAGTAAAAGAATTTTAGGATTTTTTAAAAATCTGGTTTTTCTCTTATACCTTCTATAGGTGCCTCGGGCAGAAATGCTGAGGTGCAAAACTTGGCAGGTGCAAAACAGGGAGGAATACAAGGAGAAGGTGCAATATGCAATGGAAATCAGAGCAAAGAGTTGTTTTGTAGAATTCTGTTTAGATGAAACTGCTGCTACAAATCTCACCCCTGTCAAAGCGTAACCGGGGGACTGGAAGGGTCAGAAAACTAGGGGCAGCAGTGATCTGCGGGGAGGGAGACCTTATGTTTTCATCTCCTGCAGTATTTCAGTCTTCACTAAGAACCAACCTAAGGATCTCAGGTGTCTACGCACCAGATGGTAGTAGCCACTCACACCCCAGCGTGACAATCAAAAATGTCTCCACACATTGCCAAGTGTCCCCCAGGGGAGGGGGAGGCCAGATCACCTCCATTTGAGAAGCCTTACTCCAGGGCCTGGCAAGTAGAGTTCTAGCCTCTTAAGAAAAAGTTCTTTTGAACCAAGTCATGTACTACACCCTCCAGAGTTAGAGATTTGACTAGAACAAGCATGTTCTGTTTTACAGGATGGTTTGGGCATCTGAAATGAGATCTGCATTAGAAAATTTAGAAACAGTTGCAGCTTGATGGTTTTCCTTTGCTCAATTCCCCACAATGGTTTCTCAACTGAGGTCCCTGCCATAGTGGAAAGTACTGGACCGGGTGTCGGGAGTGTGGCCTGGGGTCCTGGATCCACTCAGTCAGATGCTGCGTCAGCAGCCACAGCCTTGGCTTCACACGCCTCAGCTGTGAGACGAGAGGCCTGGTTGGCCTCTAACTTCATCTTCCAGCTCAAAAAATATGATTCGCCTGGGAGCTCCATCCTAAGGCCTGGCTTCCTTTATCCCCTCTGACCAGGGTACCGGGCAGCTCCCAACACTCGGCGCTCTGTGCCTAGTCTTCCAAATAAAGGACATCAACCCGTCCAACACCAATGCCGTAACACTGTGAGTTGTTAAGATCATCTAATATCCAAATATGAAATGTTTAAATAGTGATATTATTAAATGAAATCCCACCTCTTCCATGTACTGGTGTATTATAGCTTTTACAGCTGGCATGTTGGTGGCATCCATCATCAGGGTGACTGCTTGCCCTTTTCGTATCTTCACCACCCCTTTGAATACCTGCTGATTATTATAACAGGCAGCCAAAGTGGCAATGGCCATGACCTACAGATAATGAGAGAGAAAACACTAATTCATCTCATTTCATGAAAAAAAAGTGAGAAACTGCACTGTAAGCAATCATCATGAGAAGGGAAGAGAACCTTCGGTAGAAAGTGCCAAAGGGCTAAGATGCAACTATACCCATAGTATATGGGTACTATGAAAATACCCATAAAGAAAGCATATCAAGACTTCTCCCTTTCCCATGTTTCCCTTTCTCAACAAAACACAGAATCAAGTGCCCTTTGCGGTCTTGAATAATTCTATAGTTTAGTCACGATATTTCCTTTTTATTTGGAAAAAACAAACACAAGCCAATGTAACATTTTCCATGCTGGGGCAATGGGTTATTAGATCTGAAAAACAGATATTCCAAAATAATATCTGGAAAGGTTTTTCTATTTTGTTTTTTCTCCCTATTTTTCCTACAATGAACATAATCATTATACATTTTTTAAAAAAGTAGCATGGGGGTGGCAGGGGACAAAAGAAAGGGGGCCGTGTAGCTTCCCATGCTCAAAGGTAAATTATTTCTAGGATAGATGGAAACATAAGTCTGGCATAAAGAGTTTAGTTCCATCAACTGGTCAGATTGGTCATTAGAACAAGACGAAACCATGCTTCCAAATCAGTTAAATCTTATAACTATCTTCATTTTATTGGAGTTAAAAACGGAAATAACTGGTAAAGGCATTTAAAATGTATAAGCTCCTAGGTCCACAGGACCAGGTTCTGTTATCCCAAGGTCTGGGAAAAGGACAGCCAAAATTAGGTGCTTAAATAAGACTTTTTAGTAACAGCTTCACCTGTGTTTCACCCAGCACTCCTCATAAATCTGACTCAAAGCCCTAGATTTAATTGTGAGGATAAGCATCAAACTAGCTCGTTTAGAAACAAGGGATCTAGAAGGTTCTGGAAAGAAGCAGGCTTAACCTCAAGGCTGACCTGAATGTGATGGCCATGGGGCAGAGGGGAGGTGTTGTGAACGTGCCTGCCCCTGGCAGAAGAAAATACACTAGAGTCATTTTTTGGAGGAACCACATTCCTGAATACACAGACCAAAACAGTACACGCATTCTAGGCATGCCATCCCCAGCACACCACCCCGACCCCTCGGCCTCCCCGATCCACACCTGTGGAATAGCACAGAAGTTGAATATGCTCTGGTTTCTAAGTCGTGAAAGGTAAGTGATGACGTCAGGGATGTGGTGCAGCGTGCTGGCTATGAGCTCATTCAGGCAATGCACGGCCAAGTCCATGTTCTCTGGCTTGGCAAAGTCACCCAGCTTGTTCACATACTTGCTCCAAGCCTAGGCAGATAAGAAGATCGAAAGACAAGTTAGCACATGCACAGGGGAACAGTGTACAAGTCACATGAAAGGATCTTTGTGTGTAAGAGCTATGATATACAAAGCCTTTCTTAGCTGCTGCCTCATCTTTCACCAAGACCAAGTCCGTTTTAACCTCTACGCAATGTCTATTATGACTACAATCAAGATCTAATCATAATCAAGAGTAAGTTAAGTATTTGGGAAAGTGTTCCTTTGGGACAATTAGTGCAGCATGTACTAAGCAATACTTTGATGACCTCAGGCCAAAGAGGCCTCCTGTTATTTGCAAGGCATTGGTCTGTTCCTGAAAAAATAACCAGCTTTAACAAAATCAGCTACAATAGTACTACAAGCTAAACACTAAACATTCTCAGGATGGCCAAGGCCTCAAAATAATTAATGATTAACATTACATTCCCAGTTCTGATAAGAACACTGCTGAACAAGCGTATCTGGGGAAATGAGCTGAGTCTCTACTGTAAGAACATTACCTCCTTGACCTTAGTGACCTGAAAATGAAATAACAGCCTCAACTCCAACAACAGAATTGGTCTGACGATCTTTAATAGTATTTAGAGGATTCTCTGAAGCTAGCAAATAATTTACTTTTATCCTTGGGTGTTCTTAAGCTTCCTAAAGAATAACGCTTACTGTAACTTTATACAGTTACAGTTACAGTTGTGAGCCACAACTTTCTCTAGTTGCAGTGAGTAGAGGCTACTCTTCATTATGGTGTGTGGGCTTCTCATTGCAGTGGCTTCTCTTGTTGTGGAGCACAGGCTTTAGGCGCGCAGGCTTCAGTAGTTGTGGCACGTGGGCTCTAGAGCGCAGGCTCAGTAGTTGTGGTGCACGGGCTTAGTTGCTCTGCGGCATGTGGGATCTTCCCGGACCAGGGCTCAAACCCGTGTCCCCTGCGTTGGCAGGTGGATTCTTAACCACTGCGCCACCAGGGAAGTCCAGTCTTAATGGCTATCTGATCTGACAATTTAGATATAAATACAATATAAAAATAGGGAATTAGCTAGCATATGCGAAAACATATTTTCAACTGTGTTCAGTAGTCATACTTGGTAGCAGTAGCACTACAGTCACTATTCAGAGACTGTGGTAATGTGTAATTACATCTGTAATGTGGGAAAAAAGCAAATGAGTCATTATGGGATATACTAATTCTGTCATCTCCTATTTTCCTTGAGAAATATGACTGTGGATGAGGGAGAGGTAGAGAGGTAATACAGAAGAGACTATGTAACAGTCCTGAGTTTGAATTGGAAATATCAATATAAACTACAAGGTAAATATTTTAGATTTAAAACTAAATATATACGACGACTACTCTGAGAGCAATGACCACCCCAAGTGCCCAAGTGTGGTCTGGAGGCACCATTTCCCATTAACAGAAAGCTTAGGCTTCTTGAAGAGTTGGATGAGTCCAAATCCCAGTCAAAAAATGTACAAAATGAGCTTGGAACATCTTGACATACCTAATGGCACGGCAGCTATCAAAGGCTATTAGGGTCCCATCAAGGGGACTGAGGAGCCACTTGGGCCTCTTTCTACAATACAACTCTTAGTAGATGGAGCTAGAATTTTCTAAGAGAAACGATATCATGAGTTCATACTGCTATTTCCAATCCAGTTTAGGATCACTGGAGTTTTTGCTTAACTTCAGTGTTTTCTATCTTTGCAACCTTTATTTTAGACTGAAAATCTTGCTTCCTAATGATATGAACAAAATTACCTATTTTCTTTAAGCTGCAAAGTTTCTAGAATAGTTTCAATATTATCATTATTATTCACAATATAATTACTGAAAACTTTATTCCTTTCTGGTTTATCCTTCCATTTGAACTACACATACTGTTACGCACCTTGCTTTTTTCACTTAGTAATATAACCTGGAGCTCACTCCACAGCAGGATCGCTCTTTTGGTGCTCCACTGCGTGGATAGACCATAGCTCATGCACTCCGTCCCATACGGACGGACATCTGAGTCATTTATAAACGTAACTATTACAAACAATGGCTGCGGTCAGTAACCTCCCACAGCCGTCACTGGCCAAGCTTATGCTCACCACCCACACAGGAGCACCCATTTCCCCAGCATGACTTACGGCTTATCAAACTTCCGACATTTTCCCAATCTGATGCAGGAAATGGTATCTCAGGACTGTTTTTTGTTGTCGTTAAGCTGCTTGAACTGACATTTACTAAGCACTCTGTGCTAGAAGTTTTTCTCATTTTATTCGCACCACTGCCTGGTGGTATAAACTATTCTATTTTACAGAAGAGTGGTCAGTGAAGCATGTGCAGGGATACAGAGCCTCGTATGAAAGGCGGTGTGGTTTCCTGGACAGGCACCGGGCTGAGACCCAGGAGACAGAAGCTCCCCTTCTGGGAGTCCTGAGACAAGCCCCTTCCCTTCTCTGAGCCTTGGTGTCAAAGGAGGGGTTGTCAAGAGCTGTTTCTCGACCTCGCTGCACACCACAGTCACCTGGGAGGCTTGAAAACCTATGATGTCTGAGGCCAGGGGAGGTTTAATGTGAATTTCACCTATCAGGAGTAAGGTTGATCACCTTCCCAGATATTTAAGGATCATTTCCATCTTTCTTTCTGTGAACTACCTGTTCTTATCCCTTTACCCATTTTTTCTGTGCAGTTGGTCTTTTACTTAACTTTTGGCAGTTCTTTTAATGTTAGGAATATTAACTCTTTATCTGCAGTATAAATTCCAAATATCTTTTCCACCTTCTCACCTGCCTTTTTTCACCTTAAAAGCACTTGGTTCTAGGAAACCGTTTTTTTTTAATCTTTTTTTTAAAAATAATATATTAATTTATTTATTTTTGGCTGCATTGGGTCTTCACTGCTATGTGTGGGCTTTCTCTAGTTGCAGAGAGCAGGGGCTACTCTTGGTTGTGGTGAGTGGGCTTCTCATTGCGGTGGCTTCTCTTGTTGCGGAGCACGGGCTCTAGAGCGCAGGCTCAGTAGTTGTGGCACACGGGCTTAGTTGCTCCGCGGCATGTGGGATCTTCCCGGACCAGGGCTCGAACCCGTGTCCCCTGCACTGGCAGGTGGATTCTTAACCACTGCGCCACCAGGGAAGTCCCTAGGATACCATCTGATGGATTAAAACAAAAGGTAAATGCTGGAGTAAAATCAGGAGATAGTCCTAAGATTTCCTAGCTTTCCTTCTGAATAAAATCAATGTCAAAGCCCTTCCTTTCCCTGTCCATTTTAAATTAAGTCAAAGATCCACTATTGTCTCTGATAATGAACATCTGTAGTGGATACCCATCTGGTGCCCCTTCTTGCCACCAAGTCCTTCTTTCTTGGAGGAAATCCATTCTACATGTGTGGGCAGACATATTCCAGGTCTAGACTGAGTGCTCAATGCTCTGGCTACTAACTAATTAAGGGATGGGCATAGGAAGCAAGCCTATGAGTGAGTCATGGGACGTTATACCCACCACTGGACAAAGCCTGTCCAAGAGGTAGAAAGGGGACAAAGCCTTATTACATAGTCTGAATCCCTGGATGCAGCCCGTCCCCCTGAAGCAAACTAAATCCTAACCTAGTCTACACTGTCTCCTATGCTGTCTAAGGGAGCTTGATTTGTGTTTCTGTCACTTGCAACCAAAAGGGTTTAATGTTTTGTTGTCAGAGAGCATTCAAAATTATTTCTCCCCAAATCCCCTGAACCTATTACCTCTTGAGGCCAAAACTCTCTTCCTTCTCGCTGGTCTTCCAGATAATCACGGATGATGTTTGTTTTCTGCAGAAACAGGCCCATAGAGTTGGCAAGCTCTGTGTCTTCACCAATTAAGGGATCTTCTAACTCTGAGGCCGAGAACAGACGAGAAAGGCCAATTCCCACCAGCCCAGCAACATAGTGACAGTACTGTAAAAGATGATTTTTAAAGTACTTTAAGAATGAAACTTTTACTAAAACAGAAATGCCAGAGATCATTAACTACAAAAAACCAGGTTCCAAAAAGAATGTAAAAGATCTCATTTTGCTTAAAAAAAACCACATTATACACCATGTACATGTAAGGAGTAAAAAACATTCCAAGAAGGATGTGCACAAAAGACTTAACAAAAGTGATCTCTGGCTCATGTGATTTATTTTATTTTATTTTATTTTACTGTATTTTCTATATCTGTACAATGCACGTGTACTGCTTCTAGAATAAAAGGTTACTGAAAAAATTAACTAGTACAGTAAACTTTTTGATATCCCAAATTGGGAGTGAAGGCCTTGAGGGAATAAGGAATATTCTAACAGAAACTGGAATACTAAGTAGAATTTAATCTTGAAGACATTTTAAGATCTTGCAGTGTCTCAAAATCCTCATTAAGTAAAAGAACGTAGTGGTAGTACTTTGTTTTTTTTACATAACAAGGATGTGTTTTATTTATTTTTTAAATATCCTTTCCTAAGTTATTCACTCATTAAAAAAATTTTTTTTAATTAATTAATTTATTTAGGCTGTGCTGGGTCTTAGTTGCGACACTCGGGATCTTCAGTTGTGGCATGCAAGATCTTTGGTTGAGGCATGCAGACTTCTTAGTTGCGGCATGCACGTGGGATCTAGCTCCTTACCAGAGTTCGAACCCGGGTCCCCTGCAGTGGGAGCGCAGAGTCTTACCCACTGGACCACCAGGGAAGTCCTCAAGGATGTGTTTTAAGCATGCTGCATATTCGGTCCTCACAAACATCTTCTGGGGCACATTCAATAATTATCACCATTGTGCAGATGCAGAAACTGAGGCACAGAAACGTCACTTAACTTGCACAAGATCACTCATCTGGCGAGTCAGAGGCCAGGGATTCTCAGCCAAGCCGTATGGCTTCAGAGGCAGGGCTAAACAACTTTGCTAAAACTCTGCCTTTCTCTCAAATGAAATCTGAGTAAATGTAAATCTTAATTGTCAAAGAAGTTTTTTTCTATACAAGTGGTTTGTCAAAGCTGCCCTCCCCGGAGAAGACTATTCCAAGACAACTCAATGGAATACTCTTTGTTTTTAAATTGAAATACAGTCGATTTACAATATTGTATTACTTAAAGCAATACGTTTATAAAATGAATGTCCATTAGACAACTTAAGAAGTGAAGAGGAGTTAAAGCAGGTACCCTCTGCAGCAGAGTTAGGCGAAGACCAGAGTAGAGAGTGTCTCTGGCTGAAAGTAATACAGGGCTTCCCTGGTGGCGCAGTGGTTAGAAATCCGCCTTCCAATGCAGGGGACAAGGGTTCGAGCCCTGCTCTGGGAAGATCCCACATGCCACGGAGCAACTAAGCCCATGCGCCACAACTACTGAGCCCGCGTGCTATGGCTACTGAGGCCCGCACGCCTAGAGCCCGCGCTCTTCAACAAGAGAAGCCACCGCAATGAGAAGCCCGCGCACCACAATGAAGAGTAGCCCCCGCTGGCCGCAACTAGAGAAAGCCCGTGCGCAGCAACGAAGGCCCAACGCAGCCAAAAATTAACTAACTGTTTTTTTAAAAAAAGAAAGTAATACAAAGTCACAGACTAATCAAGGGGTACGATGAAATGGTAGAAAAAGCACTTGAAATATGTTCTAGGAGAGGAAGGATCTGGAAAAAGTAAAGATATGCTGAAATCAGAGAGAAAGCAGCTGTGGACAACCACAAGAAATTTTTAAAAGACTTACAAGAAATTAATAAACACATTACGTATTACATTACAACATCCATACTGCTGTCCAAGGAAAAGTATATTTTATGTTAAGATAACAGTTCTTTGGGTACAAATACTCCTAGAATGGTGGTATTCATTTTCCTCTAAAGTTGAAGGAAAAGAAAAATCTTTACAAGTATTCAGTTTTATCTGATCAGAACTTCTATTCAACAGCCTATAATTAAGTTTCCTGAATAGATCTGCACGGCAGAAAAGGAAGTTACTGTGCTGATAACCAGCGCTGGTTCGTGGCCAGGAGTTTCAGCTTTAACTTTAAATTCATAAACTGATATTCTAGCAGCAGCCACACTCACACTAACTTGTGGAGCATAAACCACCAGTTCCAAAGATGTTGTCATCAAGTTTTGAGTCGTGAAAAATGAGGAGGCCAGACCTTGGACCTACACTCACTCAATGACTATACAGTAGCATCTCTTTCGGGATCCTAACCTAAACACTATTAGAGACACAAAATATGTACACAATTTAGACGTTTAAAATGTCTCTGCTTCCACTGAGGTGATGAGTAAGTCTCACAGAGGCCATTCCTATGGAAAATGGGCAAGACCCCCTCCCCTCCTATCTTGTATTTTGAGTCAAGTTTAGTCCCCGTAGTCAATTACGTCACTTTGTCCACAGAAGCACGCTCTCCCCAACCCCTGGCCAACGTCCTTCACAGCTGCTGGTCAGGGATAACCTCTGGCCAAATGAAAGCCAGTATAATTGTATCTTCCACATCATCTGCTCTCACAGCCCTTTCCAGCTGCTCTGTCCCTAGAGGAAGACAACCTGGGCCCCCCAGGGGCTCCTGAAGTGTACCTCCACGTATGTGCATCTACAAGCACCGTAAAAAGAAGTAGGCGGACGTCAAGAAACCTGGAACCTCTCGCATCGTCTTATTTCTATGAAAAGATGATGGGGAAGGAGGAGTGGGTATTAGAAAGGCACTCACTCCTCAGCGTAATGCAACTATGATCCAAGTTAGTGCCTTGGGATCCTCGTGAACCTTTTTGTTTCTGAGGAAACAGACACTGAATATAATTAACAGTCTGATACCTACTCCTAAGTAAATGGGGCCAAGGTGGCACTGAATTTAAAAGTAAGCTCGTGGGGACTCCCTGGTGGTCCAGTGGCTAAGACTCTGCGCTCCCAATGCAGGGGGCTTGAGCTCGATCCCTGGTTGGGGAACTAGATCCCGCATGCCACAACTAAAGACTCAGCATGCCGCAAGTAAGACCCAGCACGGCCTAAACAAAGAAATGTTAAAAACGAAAAGAAACCCAAATTTCATTTTAAAAAAAAGTTAGCTTGTGTTATGAAGAAACTAGAAATGACTCAGAAACACACACGCATGCTCAGTAAATGAAAAAAGTAGAAGACACATTTTAAGATGTGAAAACTACTGATGTCTCTATATTACATGCAATAATTTGGTCATTAACCTCAAATTTCACAGCAAGTCAGAGACACTTTCATCAGCTTAATGTTTGCACCTCTGGGATGAGTTATATCTGCTTTGGCCGAACTCAGTGGTCCCCAACCTTTCTGGCACCAGGGACCAGTTTCGTGGAAGACAGTTTGTCCACGGACAGGGTGGGGGTGTGGGGGATGGCTAATGCGAGCGATGGGGAGCGGCAGATGAAGCTTCGCTCGCTCGCCCACCGCACCCTCCTGCTGTGCGGCCCGCTTCCTAACGGGCTGTGGACCTGTACCGGTCCATGGCCCAGGGGTTGGGGACCCCTGGCCTAACTTGACAATAAACTCTCCAGAGCAACGATTATTCCAGGTATGACTACAGGTAAGCCCCTATTAAGTGTTTATGTGGAGACATTACAGCTGGGCTGTGAAACCACCCCTTGTCTCTTGGCCCGAATGTCATGGTGAGCACTGCCAGTTCATCAGTGCTACTCACACCGACAACGCTACACAGGGACACTAACCTTGTCCCACTCCTGTTCAGACATCACACGCTTGTCCAAAAACTCTGCCATCCCAAATCCCATCTTCCGGCAAATGTCAACTATCACTGTTTGGTATTTCTCAGCCAGATTTCGAAACTCCAGGGAGATCTGAAATGGAGGTCATAAAAACCAGAAAATATGAAATACGTATTAAAACTGGGAACCAACAGGATACCTACAGATCATAAAGCAAAGCAACAACAGAACTCATCAGGGAAGACTCCCAAACGATCCAGTTATAAGTGTTAACATCTAGGTTATGCTAGCTTTCTACATATAGAATAAGTTTGGCAAATTTCATGAATATTAAAATAGAAGAGTACAGAAATGCTAAAGTTTCTAGACTCAAAAGAAGATTCAGGGAATTCCCTGGTGGCCCAGGGGTTAGGACTCCGAGCTCTCACTGCTGAGGGGCCGGGTTCGACCCCTGGTCAGGGAACTAAGATCCCACAAGCCTTGGGGCAAGGCCCCCCCCCAAAAAAAACCAAAAAAAGAAGATTCATAGTCTTATTATATGCTCATCTTCCCACCTAATGAACAATGAGATAATTCAACATAAAACTGGACATAAGTGTAAGAATTTTAGGAAGAATGCCTCATTTTCAGACAAGCCTCATGATAGTGAAGATTCATTTGTGCAAACATGTCTTGGCCACTTCCTATACAACCAGCACTGCTGTGGGCACTGGGAATGCACAGCCGGGAGATGACCAGAAACTCCGTACCCAGAGCTTATGTTCTAGCAAGGAGACCAGGCAACCAGTGTCTATCCTCAGTTCCCGAATTCATACCATGAAGCTACAGTGTCTCCCTACTATAAGGCTACACTTTCTAATTCCTTAAACAACTCAGTTTAGTTCAATCTGCAGCAGGCTATCCAACATTTATTTTTCATAGCCCAAGCTTTAATGTCGAAAAGTACTACTGATGTTCTTAAAAGTCACGGCTACTGTACAAGTATCTTGCTTAAGTTCAAAGAAGTGTCTGTAGGTTATCAAAATAGAATATACTGGGTTGGCCAAAAAGTTTGTTCGGGTTTTCATCCCATCTTTTGGGAAAACCAGAACGAACTTTTTAGCCAACCCAATAAAACACCATGAAACTTCTTAAATAATATGCTATCAACACACAATACTGAAAACAGTGAATATACCTTGCTAAGCTTCCGAAGTGTGAGAAATAACCTGGTCTATGTTTACAGAAAGGTTAGAAAAACTCCCTCGAGGAACACCTAAATTTAAGGACCTGAGGGAAACCCAGAGGGCTGCAGGGCACTGAAGGGGTTCAAAAGCCTAAGGTCCTTTAGGATTATTCTGATGAACATAAACTGTTAAACCCCCAAATTCCATAAAACCAAACTGATCTCTCCAGAACTCCTCTACAGAACAGCTGTTCCAAGACAAAGCCAAAAGGTAATTCCCACGTGGACTGAAGCAAACGAACAGCTCTACCAAAGGTCATTTGAATCCCTAAATCTCCCTAGGATCTGGTCTTTCAACAGCTCCCAGGCTGGGTCAGTTCTATTTATAAGAGGGGAAAGGCCAGCGAGCTGGGGGAGGAGCAGCTTAGGCTCGAAAACAAAGGCTCCAAAATAAACACTTCACTGCTGGATGTGAACCAACTTCAACTCCTTGGTACTTACTACATCATTATATAATTCAAAACATGAAAACAAAAATATCTACGGAGTGACTATGAAGAGCTCTGCGTTTTCCCAGAACCCTGAGGGAGGGTGGGGAGGGGAGGGCCCGACTCCCCCAGGCAGCTCTGCCTGCGAGGTCAGCCAGGAGGGGCTTTTCCTTGCCCCTCCAGGGAATTCTGTTTCCCAGCTACAGTACACTTCTAGGTCCCGGGGTCACTCTCTAGTGATTCCAAGTACGAGAAGGAAGGACACCACGGGGAGTCCACTGGTACAATGGAGAAAGGCCAGCCCCGTAGCAGGGGCAAGGGGAGCATGTACACAGAAATCTCCCTGATTATAAACCTTGGGGTGTTATGATCAAAACACTGGGTGGGGCTTCCCTGGTGGCACAGTGGATAAGAATCCACCTGCCAGTGCAGGGGACACAGGTTAGAGCCCTGGTCCGGGAAGATCCCACATGCCACAGAGCAACTAAGCCCGTGCACCACAACTACTGAGCCTGTGCTCTAGAGCCCACAAGCCACAACTACTGAGCCCACGTGCCACAACTACTGAAGCCCGTGTGCCTAGAGCCCATGCTCCTCAACAAGCCACCGCAATGAGAAGCCCGCACACCGCAACGGAGAGTATCCCCCTGCTTGCCACAACTAGAGAAAGCCCACACACAGCAATGAAGACCCAACGCAGCCAAAAATAAATAAATAAATTTTTTTTTTTTTTTAAATGGTTTCCTAGAACCAAGTGCTTTTAAGGTGAAAAAAGGCAGGTGAAAAGGTGAAAAAAATATTTGGAATTTACACTGCAGATAAAGAATTAATATTCCTAATATTAAAAGAACTGCCACTGAGCCCATGTGCCACAACTACTGAGCCTGCGCTCTAGAGCCTGCAAGCCACAACTACTGAAGCCCGTGTGCCTAGAGCCTGTGCTCCACTACAAGAGAAGCCACCGCATTGAGAAGCCCGCGCACAGCAACAAAGAGTAGCCCCTGCTCGCCCCAACTAGAGAAAGCCCGCGCGCAGCAACGAAGAGCCAACACAGCCAAAGGAAAAAAAAAAAAAAAAACCCACCAAAACACTAGGTGATGCTACCTTCACCTATATGCAAAGTTTTATTTTTAACCATTTTTTAAAGGGGCAGTAGAGTGTGCCAGGGATTAAGAACAAGGGTTCTGGATGTAGGTCTTTTGTGTTTGAATCCTGGTTCTGCCACTTAACTTCACAGGTGATTTCAGGCAAGGGGCTTAAATCTCTATGTCTCAGTTTCCTTATCTATACACACATGGTTAACAGTGTATCACATCCATTACACGTTAAAACTATATTAATATTAAATAAAGCAAATGATAAACCAATAATGAAATACATTTCGTAACTCATAGCTCAATAAATGTATGCTGTTATTGCCATTATCATTTAAAAGTAACCCTTTCTTATTTCTCAAGCTGTGTTTGGAGGTAGATCTCTAAGACTACCAGTCTCCACTAGTACCAGGTGAAAAAGATGTACTCTAATTTTACCCATAATATACAATGAGTGTTCTAGAAAGCTTGGTATCAACTAATGAGCACTGAAGCCTTATTACAGCCACAGGTCCCATGTCAATGCTGACCGGAGGAAGGCTTCAGCCGCTTCACTCGGTTAGAAGGCCCCGTGGAGGCTCAGCCCCACCTTCCACCGGGCCCGGGTCAAGAGTACAACGGTGGCCACACGCCATACGGCTCAAAATCTTAAACCATCAAACGAGCTAGTAACTTACCAAGTGCAGTATGTTCTCTTCTCCCGCCCTGACAAACATACCTTCACAGCCACCGGGAGGACTCGGGTGTGAATTTACAATTCTTGGTCCCTCGAGCTTCTGTTCCAAAATTAAATAGTGCAGAGACTGCCAGGAGGAGGAATCTCACACTCGTGTGTAAGGACACCCCAGACAGCAGGGTCAAGCTTCACCCACGACCCTCCTGAAGAGCCACTCTCGGGCCAAGGGGCACGGTCACTGGTGCACAGTACACCCTGGAGGAGATGGGCCCCAGGAAACGGACTGCAAGCTGGTGTGTGTGTGGGGTGTCTCAGGGAATTAGGGGCACACAACCCCAGACCCCCAGAAGATGGTCTACAAGGGGAGCTGCACACGCTCCCATGGCCCCCCTTGAGGGTGAGGTGGCCCAGAGGGGGGCCCTCTAAAGTGAGGGGCAGGAAGAGACTTCCCTGGCGGTCCAGTGGTTACGACTCTGGGCTCCCAATGCAGGGGGCACAGGTTCGAATCCTGGTTGGGGAACTAAGATCCCGCATGCCACACCACGCGGCCAAAAAAAAAAAAAAAAAAAAGAGGGACTAAAAAAAAAAAAAATAAAGGGGGGGGGGGGAAGGGCCCTTTCAGTTACAAAAACTAAAAAAAAAAAAAAAAAAAAAAAGATGGACTTAAAAAAAAATAAATAAGTGAGGGGAGGGGGAAGGGCCCTTCTTGCCCCTATCTGAGAGCAGTGCTGTGTGAGGGAGGCCCTCGCCCCAAACCCACTCACTGTACACCTAACCCTCGGCAACTGGAATTTGTGGGATCTTCTAAAGCTCAAGATTTTAATTAGAACCCACTTTACTCCAACTGAGTGGACTAAATACCTAACACTATTCTAAGTACTCTACATGTATGAACTCATTCAGGCCTCGCAGCTTTAACTTTACAAATGAGAAAACTGAGGCACAAGGAAGTTAAGGGGTGTGTCCAGGCTCACGCAGCTGCGGGTGGCAGAGATCATCCTGCTTCAGTCCTCAGCTCAGCTGCGAAGAGCCCGCGCCCTACCCCACAGCTGCCACCCATCATGAGCTGCACAGCACACCACCAGGTTCAGGGTGCCCCAGAGGCCAGCAGCGCGACACACCTAGGCTGCGTTCTCGGGTGCACTGGCTGGAGAACCCATCTTTCACGACACTGGCACTGGAGTACTCTTTCCACAAGGGAAGGAAGGCTGGACTTCCCAACAACATCCTGGTAATGACAGCAGCAGCTAACACCTAAGAGCTCCAGCTACGTTAACTCTTTCCATCCTCACAACCACACTAGGAGGCAGGGACCATTATTCTGTCTTACCGATGAAGAAACAGAGGCACAGGCAGGCTATGTAACGCAGCACCAGTTAAGGAGTGGGAGCATGGGGCCGCCAACCCAGGCAGTCTGGCTTGAGATGCACCATTGCCACATTATGCTACACTGCCCTGAGACTGCTGGTTTTGCAGTTCCCTCCAGGCACCCGGGCCAGCTGATGGCCACCCCACCAAGCGTGTGCACGACTGCATCCCGTTAGTCCCGCTACCGTTGGAAAGTCCTCCAGGACTTGTCGGTCCTTCTCCTTGCTCTCCGTGAACCGCCAGTCGGGCTCATAAAGGTACGAGTGGAAGTTGTGTAACAGGGGGACCTTTCTTCCTATACTGATGGTCATGTCATCTTCCAGAGTGTCCAGTGCTCGGAGAACCAGATAAAATATGCATACTGCATGGCTGTAAGAAAGGAATAACTATCAATACATTGGAACAAACGTTCAAAGATATTTGTTTTAAAATCACATCTCATTTTTGCTGGGCCATTTTCTAAACCCTCCTACACCCTTAACTCTACAGAACTGTGAAAGGATACCCAAAACTTTTCGTACTTAATGCAACTTCTTGGCTTCTCTTTCTTAGCTGGGAGCAACGGACTTCTGTAGTTTATTTATAAAAATAAATAAATAAATAACCTGCCAGCTGGACGTCACTACTACTCCCACATGAGTTACCATTTAACTAATGCAGCACAACTGTAGAAAGACCAGCAGACCATGTGGACGGAACTATTATTTTGCAGATAAAGTCAAAAGACACAATAACTTCTCACTATCAATACTATCATACCTAACGTCTAAGTCATGTACATAATCTGCACAGAGGCAACTTCAGAAGAATTAACCCAATATACTAGAAATGCAAAGTAGCATAAGTGAAGCCAAGGAAAATGCATGAGCCGCTTAGAGACAGGTCCAGCTGCCATCACTAAAAAAAGTTAATAAACATCCCCTCCCCCTCCCTGAAAGAGCTGGGCCTGCAGGGAAGCTATGAGATGGCCAGGTGCCTGGAAGGGCATTCTAAAGTAAACACAGGCGTGTTTCAACCGCGAACATTTCCTTCACCCAGCGGGGCCTGTTCAGGCTACGCCACAAGCAAGGCGACAGCAACGCGAGGGGCCGTGTCAAAAAGTGGCTTCGAATGACCCGTGGCAAAGTTTTCTTCCCCCAGGTCACAAAGAGCTGCCTGCGCCACTCACCGCATTTCCCCATCCAGCGCCTGGATAACAGCTGCGAAACTGCGACTGGTCTGATTCAAGTACTTGTAACAAGTTTTCAAGCTGCTGCTGAGCGAGTCCTGCGGGCAGAGGAGACACACGGCGGTGGGAGACGCGGAGGGGCTGGAGTGGGGCTGGGGCGGGCGGCCGGCTGCCGCGGGGCTCCGCAGCCGGCCGCACACGCCCTCTCCCCGCGGCCGGTCCTTGGAGGGCCAAGCGGCGGCGGGCAAGGGGCAGCCGCGCGGGGGAGTGCCCGCGCCCCTGGGCGCCGCGCCGGGGCTCAGCACCAAGGTCCGCTTGAAAAGGGACATGGCCTTGGTGCCGCAGGCGACTGCGGCCATGGGAACCGCGGGGCCAGCGCAGTTTTTCCTCCATAGACCCGAGAGGAGCGGAGGGGCGCCCACCGAAGGGCGGGACCCGCTCTTGCTCCACCGCAATAGGCTTGGGGCGGCGGAGCAGCGAGCTGGCGTCCGCCGCCC